AAACAGATTTAAAGAGAGCCAAATTAAGAACGAAATGCCATTCACAATTGCTACACATAGAATAAAATACCTAGGATACAACTATCAAAGGACATGAAAGACATTTTCAAGGAGAACTGCAAACCACTGCTCAATGAAATAAGAGAGGACACAAACACATGGAAAAACATTCCATGCTCATGGTTAGGAAGAATCAATATTGTGAAAGTGGCCATACTGCCCAAAGTAATTTATAGATTCAAGGCTATTCCCATCAAACTACAATTGACCTTCTTCACAGACCTGGAAAAAAACACCTTAAACTTCACATGAAACCAAAAAGAGCCTGCATAGCAAAGACAATCCTATGCAAAAAGAACAAAGCTGGAGGCATCACACTACCTGACTTCAAATGATACAACAAGGCTACAGTAATAAAAACAGCATGATACTGGTACCAAAACAGAGATATAGACCAATAGAACAGAACAAACGCCTCAGAAGTAACGCCACACATCTACAACCATCTGATCTTTGACAAACCGGACAAAAACAAGCAATGGGGAAAGGATTCCCTGTCTAATAAATGGTGTTGGGAAAACTGGTTAGCCATGTGCAGAAAGCAGAAACTGGACCCCTTCCTTACCCCTTACACTAAAATTAACTCCAGATGGATTAAAGATTTAAACATAAGACCTAACACCATAAAAACACTGGACAAAAACCTAAGCAATACCATTCAGGACATAGGCATAGGCAAGGACTTCATGACTAAAACACCAAAAGCAATGGCAACAAAAGCCAAAATAGACAAATGGTATCTAATTAAACTTAAGAGCTTCTGCACAGCAAAAGAAACCACTATTAGAATGAACTGGCAACCAACAGAATGGGAAAAAATTTTTGCAAGCTACCCATCTGACAAGGGGCTAATATCCAGAATCTACAAAGAACTAAAACAAATATACAAGATAAAAACAATCCCATCAAAAAGTGGGCAAAAGATATGAACAGAGACTTTTTAAAAGAAGACATCTATGAGGCCAACAAACATATGAAAAAATGCTCATCATCACTGGTCATTAGAGAAATGCAAATCAAAACTACATTGAGATACCATCTCACGCCAGTTAGAATGGCGATCATTAAAAAATCTGAAGACAACAGACGCTGGAGAGGATGAGGAGAAATAGGAACACTTTTACACTGTTGGTGGGAGTGTAAATTAGTTCAACCATTGGTTGAAGATAGTGTGGCGATTCCTCAAGGACCTAGACATAGAAATTCCATTTGACCCAGCAATCCCATTACTGGGTACATATCCAAGGGATTATAAATCGTTCTGCTATAAGGATATGTGCACACGAATGTTCATTGCAGCACTGTTTACAATAGCAAAGACCTGGAACCAACCCAAATGCCCATCGACGATAGACTGGACAGGGAAAATGTGGCATATATACACCATGGAATACTATGCAGCCATAAAAAGCTATGAGTTTGTGTCCTTTGTAGGGACATGGATGAACCTGGAAACCATCATTCTCAGCAAACTGACACAAGAACAGAAAATCAAACACCGCATGTTCTCTCTCGTAGGCGGGTGTTGAACAATGAGAACACATGGACACGGTGAGAGGAGCATCACACACTGGTGTCTGTGGGGGGAAACTAGGGGAGAGACATTGAGGGGTGGGGGTTGGGGAGGGGTAACATGGGGAGAAATGTCAGATATAGGTGATGGGGAGGATGACAGCAAACCACATTGCCATGTATGTACCTATGCAACAATCTTCACATGTACCCCAAAACCTAAAATGCAATAAAATACATATTTCAAAAAAAGAAATAAATTGAATACTATTCAAAAAAATTTTTTATGTTATCAAGTTGTTTATAATTAAAGGGAAATTATAATGGTCTTTCTAGGGATTGGGTTCGATATAAAAAACACATACACTAATGAGTTGATTTGAACAGTAAATTTTTCTTAAGGGATTGATTTACTCTTAATAAATTATAAAAGATTCTAATTTTTTTTTAAACTCAAAATTCAACTTTTATTGTATCTTGCCATTTTTGTTTTTTTCTCCCTCTTTAAAAGGTGTGAAATAATAAAGCTCTCTTTCAACTCATTTTCAGCTCATATAGGTTTTTTTCCCCAAAGTTCTGTTTTTTGTGGCCTGATGCTAACAATATTTTCTTGAAGGTCTAAAGGAAATGTTTTCTTCCAACATAGTATTCTGTACACTGCAGAAGGTCTTTTCTTTTGCCTTTTGGTAACTGGCCTAATAGATTTTATGTTTAATAAAAAAATTCCTATGCCATTGTTATTAAGTTTTGGTTTGCTTAGGAAAAAAACTGATACTAATTTTTTTTTTGACACAGAGTCTTGCTCTATCGCCAGGCCGGAGTTCAGTGGTGCTATCCCGGCTCACTGCAACTTCCATTTTCTGGTTTCAAGCAATTATCCTGCTTCAGCCTCCCCAGTAGCTGGGACTACAGGCATGTACCACCACGCCCAGCTAATTTTTTGTACTTTTAGTAGATACGGGGTTTCACTATCTTGGCCAGGATGGTCTCCATCTCTTGACCTCGTGATCCGCCCTCCTCGGCCTCCCAAAGTGCTGGGATTACAGGCATGAGCCACTGAGCCAGGCCTTTTTTAAAAAAAGAATTAAGGTTATTACATCCGTGTATCTTTCTGTATGTGCTTTTAAAGTACTTGTAACATTAAGTTACAGGGCTTTGACTCCTGGGTCAAAAATGGACACAAAGTCTTGCTAAAGGTGATCCACATGGTTTCGGCTTCCCAAAGTGCTGGGATTACAGACATGAGCCACTGTTCCCAGCCTGAATTCTAATTTTTCTTGGCTACGAGCCTGCAAAATAATGTTTTCAATTTTTTACCTTCTTTTTTCCCCATTTTTCCTAATTTAGAGTCACTGAAAACTAAGCTATACTTTTGTAAAGCCCTGCAAACTGAAGCTAAACAATTTAAACTTCAGAGGAAAATAATAGCAACCTATTTACATACATAAGCCACTTTCTTACCTGCTTACTAATATATGGACTTCACCGCAACAACATGGCCTATATTGATTTTTCAGGATTGTTCTTCTGTTTGTTGCTGCTTTTCTTCCTCCCTGCCCATTTTCTCTTCATAGGACTTAAGACTCCACAGCCTTCTAAAAATGAACTTTCCTAATTACTAGGGTTTTACCCGTCTAGGAATAAACCATCCTAGCCATGAGAGATCAGACAAAACCTGAAACCAGAGACTCATTTTCTTTTAATATGCTTTGTCCAAAAGATTTTAAAAAAGAAAAGGGCAAGTTCGGGCAGCTCCCTTACAGACGTGACAAGCCGCACACTACAGACGTCTGGGAAGAGTGATAAGACTGACAGAAGTCAGAGGGGAGGGAGAAAAAGGGTAGGAGTGGAGTGGCTAATCCATAAATGGAAAGAAAGTTTTGGGCCGGGCGCGGTGGCTCAAGCCTGTAATCCCAGCACTTTGGGAGGCCGAGGCGGGTGGATCACGAGGTCAAGAGATCGAGACCATCCTGGTCAACATGGTGAAACCCCGTCTCTACTAAAAATACAAAACATTAGCTGGGCATGGTGGCGCGTGCGTGTAGTCCCAGCTACTCAGGAGGCTGAGGCAGGAGAATTGCCTGAACCCAGGAGGCGGAGGTTGCGGTGAGCCGAGATCGCGCCATTGCACTCCAGCCTGGGTAACAAGAGCGAAACTCCGTCTCCAAAAAGAAAAAAAAAGAAAGTTTTGCCATTGGGAAATCAAAACTTAAAGTGGGGAAGGGGACAAGATGTAACCTTAAAAGGGGATAATAAAACTTAGGCCGCATTGGGGAAGATTGTAACCCCATAGTACTCAGCCTATGAGGAACCAGGGTAGAGACTTGCACACTAGGTGACAAACTGCTTGTTGAAACTGCACTGGGTGTGCCTGCCCACCAGACACCTGATCTCGAAAAACCATTATTAAAAAGTCTCACTTTTGCTGTCCTTCATGCCTCTAGGTCCATTCTTTGGGTTTGGACAGGTGAGTGTGTTTCTCACATCACCTAACTCCTGAGCTGTTACGGGGAAGCTGCTGCTAAGCAGTTTCAGGTGTTTTCTATCTATTGGGAGCGTGCCTCTTCCTGGCACTGGCTGCAACCCATTATTACTTTAGAGAGACAGTTAACAACTGATTATTACCTGATGGTTGCCTGACATTCCTGGTGGGGGAGAGAGGAGCCTGCTCTGCTCATGCCTGGGCTACCTACCTACTATAACAATGGTGAAATTTTGCTTGGGCCTTAGGTCAAATATTCATTTCAAAACTAGGCCATTCAAACTTCAGCACAAATGTTGAGAGCCCTCTAAAACATTTACCTAATCCTTAATGGATTGCTGGTAGAAACAGTAAAGAAATGAATATTTTCCTTCACACTTGCCTTCAGCACAAAAAATTCCCTGTCTTCACTGTGTGATGCATGTGAACATTTATATAATTACTAGGTATGCCTGGCCCTTCTCTGCTGGTTTCTTTCCAACCCTTTCTCCTTCCAACTCCGTCGCTTCCCCTCTTTTAAAATAGTGTTTTGCATCTTGAATTTCTGAATCAAAAGGGATATAGTCTCCAAGTTTCTTCTGCTCCTACAGTGGTTGGCACTTGTGAGGAGGTCGCCTGAAACGCTCCTTGTCGGTGACAATGACCATAAACCATGGGAGAAATATGTCCAATAACTAGAAAATTAAGCAAGGGGTTATTAATACAATCTTTTGTAGTTTTTAGAATGCAACCTCGTATTTCCAAAAAATTCTCTCGTTTAAACGTCAAAGACAAAACAAGCCAACAGCCCATATGCACAACTTATTTTTAAACTGTAAAACAAATACCGCATTACAGAAAATTTACGAAACAAAGGAAAAACCGACACGCCACCCAGAGACTGAAATGATCTAGATTAATTCCTGGCTGTTTTTCCCTCATCTCTTCCCGCGCCTTTGCCACCAAGAACAACCTTCGCGCGCTGCCGGAACCGCGGCGCAGGGGGAGGCGCTGCCTCGCGCGCGGTGCGCCGTTGCCATGGTAGCTGCGGAGGCTGGGACCCGGGTGTGGTGAGTCTAGGGTCCTGGCGCCTTGGACCCGGGTGGGCACTCGGGGAGGGGTGCGAGGGGGTAGACGGACATCTTCCCTCCAGGCTGCTCGGGCAGGGCTGGAGGGGAGTGGGCTTCAGTCATAGCGTCCTCAGACTCTGCTTCTGTCCAGAGCTTTGTGCACCCGTCCCCTACCCCGCGGGCAGCCGCGAAGGATCGCAGAAGGTCCCCAGGGAATTCAGGCCGAAGAGCAAACTCTGATGTCCTGAAGTGTCCGATGCCCCCTCGCGGGACCTCGTGAATCACCTGGCGGCGCTGCCACTTTCTGCATCCTGTTTCTCAGGCCTTCCCTTTGTTTAACCCTGTGTGCCCAGGGCTGCCCTTGGGGTCTTTCTCTTTGAGCTGGGACTGAAAATCCTTAAAGGACTACATTTTTTTTGAAGAAAAAAAGTCAAATGGCTTAAAAGGCACGTACGGATCTACTCCTCTCTCACAACTTCAGGCTGCGTCGCCTGCCTCCTTGCCCTTTGTTTATGCTCTTCCCATTACCCGGACTGTCCTTTTTTTCTCCCTTTTAGGACTCCTACTCTTCAAATATGGAGGTTTCACCTCTTCTTGGAAACCTTTCTGAGACTGCCTCCCAGAATTGAAAGTAGATGTCCACCGTCTTTACTCTCAAAGCACTCTTTGCCTGCCTCCGTTGTATCCCTGCTCTCACTCTGTCATTGCTGATTTACTTGTGTCTTCCTTACTAAACTGTGAGAGCCTATGGGATAGGGGCTGTGATCTATGTGATTTTCTATTGTGCCTCAAAAGCATTCACATTCTGTAGTTAAAAAGAAAAGTTTATAGATTTATTTTTCTACACTTATTTAGTAAGGCAGACCAGGTGCTGTCCTCATTTCAGAAAAGTCACTTAATTAGTAACAGAATCAAGACTAAGGCAATGCCATTCTGCCTTCATAGTTCCAGCCTTCCCTCTTCCCTTCCAAGCTCATATTCTCTGTGAAACTTTAGTTATATGTAGCAGGGTTATAATTTTGATGTATGTTATTACTTTTGTGGGAAAAGAAAATGTAGTTTATTTTTCTATGTGACTGACCTAGTTCCTTTCATGAGCATTCATTTATTGGTTATTAGGAAAGAATCTAAATGCCCAATTGATTTTAAAGTTGAGCTTGATCTAGAATTGATTTCTTTGGCTAGTGTTTCTCTTACATACAAATGTTTCGGTTCTCAGGTATCGTCTTGGATTCTTTCCTTGAGATGGTGCCCTGGCTATGTGGATGCATGTGGATGGCTCATGGAATCAGTTATGGAGACGAGTCAGGGTCCCTTTTCTTTCCCTTGGCTCTGGGGTGATGTTCTGGTATACTGGGTGCTCTTGGTTCTAACCTTTGGTTTACATACCTTGTGAACAGGTTTTTCCTGGTTTGATCAGGACTCAGTAGAGCCTCCGGCTAACTAAGTTGCACTGAGTCCCTGCTGTGACTTCCCTTCAGCCCTGACTGGAGTGATTTACTCTACAGCCGCCCCTCCCTGCAAAGCCCCTTGCCCTGCTATAGCAACTGTCTTCCCTGTATGATTCCCTGTCTTCACTGTGTGATGCACACGAACATTTATATAATTACTAGGTATGCCTGGCCGTTCCCTGCTGGCTTCTTTCAAGCCCCTTGTCCCTCCATCTCCATCTCTTCCCCCCCGTTTTTAAAGTTGTGTTTTGCAATCTTGAATTTCTGAATCAAGAGGGATACAGTCTCCAAGTTTCTTCTGCTTCTGTGGTAGTAGAAGGCAAGTAGTAGGGGCAAGCCCCCGGCAAGCCTTCCCTATTTCTAGGTCTCATGGATGTCCTAAGGCAGTGCCTTCAAACTTTGTTGTCTCAGGACTCCATTTCACTCTTAAAAAATGATCCTGAACAGCTTTCCTTTATGTGAGTTATATCTATCAATATAGTTGTAAGAATTAGAAATTAAACTGAGGATTTTGAAAGTGTTTATTAATTCCTTAAAAAATAACAAACTCCCATGTTGACATAAATTATATATTTCTCATAAAAATAATTATTTTCTAAAACAAAAGAATTAGTGAGAGTGACATTGTTTTACATTTCTGCAAATGTCTTTAATTTCTGGCTTAATGGGAGACAGATTCTTATGTCTGCTTCTACAGTCAGTCTGTTACAATACGCTGTTTTGAAATATGTAAAGAAAATTCCTCCTTACATAGATATATAGTTGGAAAAGGGAAGAGTATTTTAATAGCTTTTTCAGATAATTGTGCATATTTTTGTGATTGCACCCAAACTCTACAAGCGGTAGTTTCTTTTTTTTTTTTTTTTTTTTGTTTTTTTTTTTTGAGGCAAAATCTTACTCTGTTGCCCAGGCTGAAGTGCAGTGGCATGCTATCGGCTCACTGCAACCTCTGCTGCTCAGATTTAATTAATTCTCCTGCCTACGTCTCTCGAGTAGCTAGGATTACAGGTGCCTGCCACCATGCCTGGCTTATTTTTGTATTTTTAGTAGAGACGGGGTTTCACCATGTTGGCCAGGCTGGTCGTCAAACTCCTGACCTCAGGTGATCCACCCGCCTTGGCCTCCCAAAGTGCTGGAATTACAGGCATGAGTCACTGTACCTGGCCTACAAGTGGTAGTTTCTTAAAGGCTAGTTGCAATGTGGGATCTGAAGCCATGTCAATGAACTTTTCATACTGTGTTACATTAAAATCTATTTGTCTGTTTTATACTTTGGATCTTTTACCCATGTTTGATAATGGAAAGTGGCAGGGAAGTGAAGCTGATTTTGTGAAGGAGAAAAGCAGTCATTAGCAAAATGTTGCTTCATTTATGTTTCATGCTGTAATATTTTTAAAAGCCTACTTTCATTAATGTCACCTTGGATCTTAAAAGTATTGGGAAGCTGTTAGCTAACACATGACCAATATGAGTTTTCTAAAATGCAAATTGTAGCTGGGCATGGTGGCTCACACTTGTAACCTCAGCATTTTGGGAGGCTGAGGTGGGAGGATTGCTAGAGGTTAGGAGTTTGAGACCAGCGTGGGCAACATAGCTAGACCCCCGTCTCTACAAAAAAATTAAAAAATTAGCCTGGTGTGATGGCACGCCTCTATAGTCAAGCTACTCAGAAAGCTGAGTTGGGAGGATTGCTTAAGTCTGGGTGCTCAGGCTGCAGTGAGCCCTGATGGCACCGCTGTACTTCAGCTTGAGTAACAGAGTGAGACTGTGTCTCAAAAAAAAAAAAAAAAAAGTTAAAATACTAATTGTATTAGAGTTCTTCAGAGAAACAGAATCAATACAATATATATAGTCCTCTGTATCTGTGGATTAAACTAACCCTGGATCTAAAATATTTGGAAAAAACAGGGAGGGTTGTGTCTGTACTAAACATATATAGATTTTTTTTCCTGTCATTATTACCTAAGCAATACAGTATAACAACTATTTACATTGTAGTTGGTATTGTAACTAATCTAGATTTGACATATATGGGATGATGTGTATAGGTTATTTGCAAATACTACACAATTTTATATAAGGCACTTGAGCATCCATGGATTTTGATATCTATGGGGGTAGAGAGTTCCAGAATCAATCCCCCCTTGGATACTGAGGGACACTTGTATATATGAATAAATATAGAATAATTTATTATAAGGAATTGGCTCATGTGATTATGGAGGCTGAGAAATTTCAAGATCTGCCTTCAGCAAGCTGGAGATCCAGTAGAGCCATTGGTATAGTTCCAATCCAAGTCCGAGGGCCTGAGAAACAGGAAAGCTGATAATATAAGTTCTAGTCCCAGCCCGAGCCTGAAGGCAGATGCCTAGCTTGAAAACAGGCAGAGAGAGTGAATTCTCCCTTACTCAATCTTTTGTTGTATTCAGGCCTAGTTATTTTTCATAAACTATGTTTTTTTCCCCTTTCTATTAGCAGATAATGTGTTTAAGATGAATTAATACATACTTTATTTCTGGGTTTTTTTTTTTTTT